TAAAAGTTATAACATTAAAAAAATAAAGTAAACCTTAACATTAATGTTATTAAAAAGATAATAAAAAGTTATTCTTAAGCTAGAAACCTGCTAAAATAGAAGGCACTAAATATTTTACATACAGACACATCTATGCATTAAAGAACTGCTTTTATATCTATCTAGACAAAGCACTAGACTAGTAAATGCTAAATAAGAGAGTTAAAAAGCTTATAGTATTAAAGCATAAGCATAACTTAGAATTTTAAGGCCTACTAAAAAAGTAGTGTAGACATAATTTAAAGATACTAATTCTAAAGAGTTTATATATACTTATACTAGAGATATAAAAAGACTAACTTAAAAGCTAGAAAGTATTAAAAGTTAAGGCAGCTGCATTACTAGCTATAGTTAATTTAAACTAGAATAGATATTTACTAAAAAAATTATTTATTTTTAACTTAAGCTTAACATGCTATATTATAAATAATTTTAATTAGATCTATAACTATTATTTACTAACACTAAAAAACTTTATCTAGTTTAAAAACTCTTATATATAGATTTAAAGCTATAGATTAATTACACTAAGCCTAAAAAGTAAGTATAGAACACATAGTTAAGCATACAGTCTTGTACTACATAACGCTGCACTGTGCCTAGACCTGCTGTGCAACCTAGTCTTATTTTGCCTACTGCAACAAAAAGAAATTTAGTAAGACACATAAGCAGAGCTAACTACTTTAAAGGCTTTAAATAAAATAATAATTAAAGATCTTATAAAGATCTATAGCTAATAAGTGTTAGAGTACTATCTACTATAGAAGGGCTTATATTATACACACATAATTAACATAAGAACTAAACATAGTCTATAAAAGGCATTAGTAGAGCTATAGTATAAGCGTCTAGGACACCCTAGACTAGCTACACTTTAACACCTTATACAGTAAGCTAAGGGGGTGTAAATTAAAAGAATTACAATAGTCTAATATAACTTATATAGTAGAGCTAAAATATAATAATAAATTAGCTATGCACTATAAATTAGCAATAGTAGACTTAGTAAAAGACTATTAATTAATTTCTATGCATATAAAGTATAAAGCATTATAAAAGAGCAAAGTTAAATGCTAATTACTAATAAGTATTCTAGCCTCTAGTAGAACCTCTACTTTAAGAATAATAAGCTTACTAAATTAATTATTAAAGCTTTTATAATCTTTATTCTCTTTCTAAAGAACTATTATAACATTAGTGTAAAAGTTATTAAAGCTAATAATAAAATTATAATAGTAAAACTAGAGGTAAAATGCTAGCTAACATTATATAAAATAACTGTTAAGCCTTTAGCACTAGATACATAAGCCTAGAACAAAGAAGCTAAACGCTTAGAGAGTGTAAATAAGAAAAAGTTACAGGCTATGCAACTAAATGCTAACCTACTATAGAATATATAGCTATACATTACTAGAGCTAGCGTATACCTATATAATTAGACGCTAAACTATGCTAATAACTAAAAGACACTATATAAGATCTTCTTTACATAAGCAGCTTTAAATAATAAAGTTATTACATTAATTTAAAAGCTAAGCTTTACACATTTAAAAGCCTATAGCTATAAAGCATTTATAATAACTAATAACACACATTAAAATAAATCTAAGCTACAGAGGCTAGACCTAAAGGCGTAGATTAGATATCTAGTTAAGTACTAATTATTAAACATTTACTATATATAGATACTACTACTAGCAAAAGTAATCTATACATATAATGTTATTTTTAATAAACACTTAATTTTTAGTAGTAAGCCTAAAGACCTAATAAATAACTTTATATATAACATAGTAAAAAAAATTACTATATATATTAAAATAATTAAGCTTCTAACACTTAGTTATTAGCTAAAAACAAAGTTATTTTATAAAGATAATACTATAGACAATACATTAAATTTTAATAAAGTAGACCTACTAGGCTACTATTAAAAAAGAAAGATTAAAGATAACTATCTATCTTCTTTAAATACTCTGCTACTTGTAGCATTACTTATGCAGTTAATAGCTAGAGCAGCACTAAAGCTAAGCTAAATAGAGTTGTTAAAGACTGTACTATACACTGTAGCCTTTATAGCTAGCATAAGATTTAAAAGTGTAAAAAAGCATAGCAGTAAAACACTAAATAAAGCAGCATTAATAAAAATGCTATTTAAAAAAAAGACACTTTATAAAAGCTAGCTGCTACTTTTACTATTAACCTAAAAGCAACTAAAGAAGCACCCTTTACATAAGATGTTTAAGGCAGCAGAAAGAACACACCTAGACAGTTATTAGATAATAAAATTCTAGATAGAGGTCTAAACAAAGCTAATTAAGGCAGCTAGACAGCAGATTCTAGATTATATATAGGTGTACACCTACAAGCTTAACAAGCACTATAGATTATAAAGATGCAAGGCGCAACTAGTAGTCTACAGTAATTAACAAAGAAACATTACTATATAAGACACCTACGCTGCTACTCTAGCAGGACGCTTATTTTAAATGCTAATAGTAATATCTGCACGCTTTAACCTAGAGCTTAAATAATATAACATAACTAATGTGTTTATACATGCAGCAATTAACTGTAATATCTACATGCAGATGCTAAGAGGCTATTAGAAACTAGGTATAATACTAAGGCTTTAAAAAGCACTATATAGCCTATAAATTTCTTTTTTACTTTAGCAACGCTATTTTATAATAACTTTTAAAGGCCTTAGGTTTTTAGCTATTCTACATAAACTCTACTACATAACTAAAGCTAGAATATTTATCTTCTTTTATGTAGACAACCTTATTATTGCGTATAAGAAAGGCTCTAAAGCAGATGCACAGCGTGTAGTAGACTAGTTACAAGAGAAGTATACTCTAATAAGAGGCAAAGACCTATAATAGTTTCTAGGAGTTAAGATTATTAAAGATTAACAGTAATAAATAATTTAGCTATTATAGGCCTTATATATTAACAAGATAGCTAGGCTAGCTAACAGAAAAGACCTGCAGCACACTACACCTATAAGTGGGATTAAACTTATGCTGCAATCTAGTTTTACAACTCTATTAGAAGTAAATTAATAGCAGAAGATTAGATCTCTACTCTTTGTAGCAGTCACTACAAGACTAGACATCGCCTTTGCCACATTACGCCTCGCACAGTTTCTCACGAATCCTGCATCTGACCATCAGGATGCAGCCGATTAAGTCATCCTGTACCTACATGCGACACAGACGTACGCACTCTAATTAGGAGGAGAAGACTACCTTATAGTAGCAAGTAATGCGTTATTTACAGATAATACACTAGATAAAAAGAGCTTTTAGGGCTATATTATTTAACTATTTAGTAGATAGATTGCATAGTAAGTAAATAAATAAGATACAGTTATAATATTAACAACAGAAGCAGAATTACTTGCACTGTCTTAAGTTGCTAAGGAAGCTATGTTTATAAGAATGCTTCTTAATAAACTGCAGGTTAAGCTGCCTAATTTAACTATTACAATCTAGTGCAACAACAAGCAGACAATCTGACTAGTAAACAAAGAGATATCTTAACTTTAAACCAAGCTCCGACATGTTAACATCCATAACTACTGGCTCCGACAGGAAGTCTCTCAACAAACGATCAAGGTTGTCTATGTCCCCTCTAGCGAGATGCTTGCGGACGGACTCACCAAAGCGCTTCTAGTTAGCAAATGGCCAAGCTTTCTTCAGCAAATTC